GAAAATATATAAACATCCATTCTTTTAAAGTTGCATCAATGACAAAAGTAAAACATCATGACCTCTTTAAATTTCTTGTACAATTCAATTTTTTATCGTAATCATAAGAAGTGTAATACACGGAAACATCACTCCATATCAGATCAATACAACACAGCTGTTGCATCATCATCAAGCAAATAATCAAAGGTTGCCTTGGGTCACTGACCAACAATAAGAAGGGTTGGTAATGTTATCTGTCTATTGTTTTTATTCCTAATTAGCCCCAAGCCACTTCTTGAACGATCATTTGAGGTCGGAACTATTGTCATTTGGAATCCTCAGAGAGAAGGGAGTTTTACATGACAACAGAAAACCTCAATTACTTGCAAATATCAAGCTCGGTACTAGTACTAGTCTGCATTTCCACATGTTTTCATTTATATAGACATTAAATCCTGAAAAAACACGCCCCAATGCACAAAGAAGATGTCCAATAGATCATGATTGTTCAAAGTCAATCTACAGTATGACAGGAGGGCGTGAACCCAGCCCCACACGTCGCGCACTCTGGCTCTGTATTCGATTAACTCTACTCCAAAACTTGTCTGCTTCAGAGGCAGGGGGGGAAATGATACTATCCCATCATCCTTTGCAATACACATCCCACAACACGTGTCCCAGATGGCTGACTGTCAGCACCAGGCATATAGTCCTGTCATGTTTCCTTTAAAAGTGCAGCAATGGCAACAATTTGACCAGTAATTTTTGGTTCTTTGAATCATCAAAGGACTCAAGTAGTGTATGAGGCTATCTGACTTTTGTAACTTATGTACAACTTCTTACATTGTGTCTTAAACATTTATGCAAACATTTGCTTCAAAAATGGTGCTCAAACTTCACCAAACTAAAGTGCTTTTCTACAAACTCTGTTGATTGGTGATATTATACATCTTGTGCATCAGAAAACCCCAAATGCACCATAAAGCACCCATGGGAAACAGAAGAAAATATTATATTTGATATTATTTATGTAATAATCATCAACAAATGCAATTTTCTTCCGTTTCCCATGGGTGCTTTTTGGTGCATTTGGGGTTTTCTGATGCACAAGATGTATATTATCACCAATTAACAGAGTTTGTAGAAAAGCACTTTAGTTTGGTGAAGTTTGAGCACCATTTTTGAAGCAAATGTTTGCATAA